GCTGCAGCAGTCGCACCAGCATCACCATCATCAAACCACCACAACTACCACCACCCCCATCATCAGCATTGCCAGCAGAATCATAATCCTCAGCCTAGTCATAATCATCATCATTATCATCATCATCATCAACCTCATCAGCATCATCAGTATCAGCATCCCCGCAATCATCATCGTCATTCTCATCACCAGTTTCATCATCGCCATCATCACCACCCACTACGACCACCATCGTCGTCATCAGCATCCCCATCATCGTCATCACAATCAGCATCGACATCGTCATCGACATCGTTATCATCATCATCACCAGCAACAGCCTCACAATCAGCATCATCATCATCGTCGCCGCCGTCAACCCCATCCATCATCATCATCATCATTACCACGGCCAGCACCAGCATCGGCATCATCATCAGCAGCATCATCATCATTATCGGAAGCAGCTGCTTTTGAATCATCAGCGCCATCAGCATGATCATCATCAGCAGCCTCAGCATCACCATCATCAGAATCATGACCATCATCAGCATCATCATCAGCATCATCACCCTCATCACCCACCACCACCACCAAACTCATCGTCCTCGCCCTCATCATCATCCCCATCATCCTCACCGGCATCATCATCATCATCAGCAGCAGCAGCATCGTCATCATCATCATCATCGTCGTCAGCATCGTCACCATCAGCATCACTATCAGCAACATCATCACACTTAGCAGCATCATCATAATCGTCGTTGTCAATGGCGCCCATCCTCATCAAAGTCATCACCACGACCATCATCGTCAGCAACAGCATCCGCATCAGCATCCTCATCCGCATCAGCATCATCATCAGTATCATGAGCAACACCATGATAATCATCATCAGCATCATCATCATCATCATCATCATCATCATCATCATGATCATCATCATCATCATAAGTGTCGTCGTCGTCATTGTCGTCGTCTGCGTGGTCATCGTAATCACCATCCTCATCGTCAGCATGATCATCACCACCAGCAGCTGATCAACGTCGTCATCATGACAAGTCACAGTCTCTTCATCTGCATCATCGTCCGCAGCATCAGCATCAGCATCACCATCATAGGTTTGCATCATCAGCATCAGCAGCAGCATCATCATCATAATCAGCATCGTCACCATGATCATCATCGTCATCATCAGCAGCATCATTATCAGGATCGCCACCATCGTCGTTACCAGCATCATCATTAGAAGCAGCATGATCATCATCATCAGCATCAGCGTCATGATCATCATCGTCATCATCAGCATCATCAGACTCATTAGCATCATCATCAGCATCAGAATCATCAGCAGCAGCAGCGGCAGCAACACTAGCAACATCAACATCACCATCATCATCAGCAGCAGCATCGTCCGCTTCTTCCTCCTCAGCATCGCCAGCGTAATCATCATGGTCAGCATCATCATTCGCATCATCACCATCAACATCATCATCAGCAGCAGCATCAGCATCAGCATCAATATCCGTATCAGCAGCAGCAGCATCAGCATCCCGCCCGAGTCGCACCTCCTTCCCCCACAGCCTCCCTCCATCCCTGCCTCCTTCTCCCTCCCGCATCCCTCCCTCCTTCCCCTCTCCCCGCCCTCGTCCCCTCATCCTACTGGTTTCGTATCGTCCTCCTCTTCCATCTTCACCCTTGGCCACATTGGACAAGTGAAAGTGCACAAGTCCTCGTATGTTGGCGGCGCGCGGGAGGGTGATGGGTGGAGGGGGAAGGCTTCTTAGAAGGAGGCTGCTTCTTCGAAGGCGCAGGCCTTACATCTACAGACAAGGCCTGCGCCTTCTAAGAAGCAACCTCCTTCTAAGAAGCATTCCCCCCTCCCCCCTACCCTTCGCTGCGCAAGGCCGGGTATATGGAGAGCCTGTGCGGAAAGCAAGCCGTGAAAAGATGCGGAAGGCCGTAAGGAGCCCCAAAGCCCGGGCGAAAGCAAGGCTTCCGCTGTGTGTTTGTGTAGTGAGCCAACGAGGCGACCAATGGAAGTGAGGTGACCATCAGGCTACAAGCTGGACGTCAACTGGAACGACGAGGAAGAAGGAGGCAAGAGAGAAAATAGAGGAGAGAGGCAAGCTACATGCGCCGCACGCGCCGCATCTGCCATCTCTTCTCATTGCACTGAATTTGTTTCTATCCGCGCACGCGTGTCACAGCCTGACCTGTGGAACCGGCGGGGCGGGTGGGAGCTGTGGACTTTTCCGATCTGTGGGACCCGTGTAACATGTGGGACTTCTGTGACCTGTGGGACATGTGGGACCAGGACCTGTGGGGCAGATGGGAACTGCGGACCTGTGGGAACTGTGGAGCCTGCGGGACTTGTGAACCCTGTGCGACCTGAGGGACCTATGTGGCTTGTGGGGCCTGTGAGACCTGCGACACACATGGGATTTGTGGGACATATAGGACCAGCGAGACCTGCGAGACCTGTGGAAGCTGTGGCACAAGCAGGACCTGTGGCACGTGTGGGACCTGGGGCACCTCTGTAGGACCTGTGAGACCTGCGACAGCTGTGGGACGTATGGGACCTGCGGGACCTGCCGGACCTGTGGGACCCGTGAGACCTGGATCCTGAAAAGTGGCTCACGCTGGGGCGACAACGCCATTCTGAGAGCACCTCTTTGAAACTGGAAAACAATCGGAGTGTAACATTATCCTGGCGAAGGACCCAACCATATGCACATGTGGGTACGCCATTGTGGCACCGCTTTCGGTGGATCCCCCCATGGGGCCACGAAACGTGTAAGGCGTGTGCCGACATGGGCGGGGAACCGCATGTGGACCCTGCCACTGAGGCCTTCGATGAAGCTCCCTATGCGGCCACGAAACGTGTGAGATGTGTAAGGGAATGGGCGGGGAACCGAATACGAACCCTGCCACTGGGGCCTTCGGTGAAGCTCCCTATGCGGCCACGAAACGTGTGAGGTGTGTGTGCCAACATGGGCGGGGAACCCCATGCGAACTTTGCCACCTTCGATGGAGTTCCCTATGCGACCACGTTTCGTGTGAGGGGTGTGTCGACTTGTGAAAGGAACTGCACACGAACTCTGCCACTGAGGCCTCTGGCGGAGCTCCCTATAGAGCCACGAAACGTGTGAGGCGTGTGCCGACATGGACGGGGAACCGCATGCGAACTTTGCAACCTTCGATGGAGTTCCATATGCGGTCACGAAACGTTTGAGGGATGTGCCGATACGTGAAGGGAACCGCGCGCAAACTCTGCCACTAAGGCCTTCGGCGGAGCTCCCCATACGGCCACGAAACGTGTGAAGCGTGTGCCGGCATGGGCGGGGAACCGCATGCGAACTCTGCCACTGGGGCATTCGGTGGAGCTTCCTCTGCGGCCACGAAGCGTGTGAAGGGTGTGCCAACATGGGCGGGGAACCGCAAGTGAACTTTGCCACTGGGGCATCCGGTGGAGCGCCCTATGCGGCCACAAAGCGTGTGAGGGATGTGCCACGAAACGTGTGAGGGGTTTGCGGGAATTGGCGGGGAACTGCATGCGGACCCTGCCACTGAGGCATTCGGTGGGGCTCCCTATGTGCCCACGAAGCGTGAGGGGTTTGCGGGAGTTGGCGGGGAACCGCATGCGGACCCTGCCACTGAGCCGTCGGTGGAACTCCCTATGCGGTCACGAAACGTTCGAGGGGTTTGCGGGAATTGGCGGAGAACCGCAAGTGAACTTTGCCACTGGGGCCTTCGGTGGAGCTTCCTTTGCGGCCACGAAACGTGGGTGTGCCGACATCGGCGGGGAACCGCATGCGAACTTTGCCACTGGGGCATTCGGTGGAGCTCCCTATGCGGCCACGAAGCGTGTGAGGAATGTGCCGACATGGGGGAAGCGCATACGATCCCTGCCACTGAGGCATTCGATGGAGCTCCGTGTGGGGGGGGGGCACGAAACGTGTGAGGGGTTTGCGGGAGTTGGCGGGGAACCGCATGCGGACCCTGCCGCTGAGGCCTTCGGTGCAGCTCTCCCTATGCGGCCACGAAACGTGTGAGGCGTGTGCGGACATGGGGCGGGGAGCCCCATGCGAACCCCGACACGGAGGCACTCGGTGCAGCCGTGCGGAGGGCAGAGGCAGGGACGGGAGGAGGGGGAGGGGGAAGGAGGAGGAACGTGGGGCGCGGTCTCCCATCAGAGCGAGGACCCAAGACCAAAGGACGGTGGGGAAAAATGCCACGGGGATCATCAGGGTTTGAAAGCCTGCGCTAGAAAACCATACACGGAAGGCGCATAACAACGCCCTGGACAACTTCAGGGAAGAGAGGAGGGTAGTGTGATGACGGGGTATTTGTAGAGAGCAAGAGGGGCGAGGAGGTAAGAGGAGAGAGTGGGGAGGGAGCGACAATGGAAGAGGGAGGATGGAAGAGGGAGGATGATGGATAGGATAGGATACGATGGGACCAAGCGTAGAAAAGGAAGATCCGGTAGCCCTGCAGGAACATGAAGACGGATGGGAGAAGACAAAGAAGGAAAGGAGGAGAAGGAAGAGAAAGTAGCATAAGACAGGAAGAAGGAAAGGAGGAGGAGGACGACGAGAAGTTCAAGCGAGAAGTTTTCGCGCATCCGTTCCGAGCACCAGCGAGAGCAACATCCTCCATGCCCCAGGAGGATGGTCGCGCCTCGCACAGAATCGCGAGACTCCCTAGATCAGTTGGCACCCTGTGCAGGGGAAGCGAGGAGGGAGGAACAAGGAAAACGGGAGAGGAGGAGGAGGAGGAGGAGGAGGAGGAGGAGGAGGAGGAGGAGGAGGAGGAGTGAGTATGAGCAGTGGGTAGTACTCAGGAAGAGTAGCACTGAGAGGCGGAGACACGGAAAGAGGGGGCGGACGAGGAGAGGAGGAAAATGAGGATGCGAGGAAGAGGAGGTGGAGGAGAAGTTGGCACCACATGCGTGCCCGCACGCGACTCACAACAAGACACACACACAGACACACACACACACACAAAAAAAAAACACACACAAGCCAAAAAAGCAGATACACAGATATCGGGTCGGGCGAAAGGGGGGGATAGCAAAAGGGGGGGGGGAGAATCAGCTCACGTAGCTGATTTTCCCGGCGCCTCCCAGCGCTGGAGGCCGCTATGCATCAAGGAATGGACCCCTCGGTGAGGCCGAAACCAGCTGCATGCAGCAAATTTCGTAACCTCCCCTTTCCCAATCCCCCCCTTTCGCCCGGCCCGAACATATATCTATACATATAAATATATGTACACAGACACATCGGTACATGTGTGTATATGAACTGGCGTCGCGGCTCGCGCGCGGCAACGGGCCGCAGAAAGTCGGGCGCAGGCAGTGAAGCGCGCGCCCCTACGCCCGGCCGAGCACTCAGAGACCGCTCAGGACACACACACACACACACTTTTTCGTAAGCGGCGAGGCGGCGAAACCCGCACCAGCGTAACAGCCAGGTAGGGGCACTAACTAGCAAATTGGCCGGCGTGCAAGGAGGGACGGGGGGAGGCCGACGAGAGGAAGAAGGGACGCTCAGACGCCGAAGACTTCGACGACGGACCGCTCAGGTGAGGGGAAACCATAGGGGGGGACTGGCATAGGGGGGATGCATCGACCTGGAATCGGCGATACATCGCCGATAGATCGGCGATAGGCCCCCGATAGCGAATCCGCACCTTCATGGGCTGGGTGGGGCTATCGGGCCCCTATCGGCGATGAGTGGGCATTTGGGGGTCGCTGCATCCCCCCCTGCACCTATCCCCCCCATCGATGCCTCCGATTAGGACACACACACACACACGCGACACACACACAGACACACACACACACACACAGACACACACACGCGACACACGCGACACACGCGACATAACCACACACACACACGACACACACACACGACATCCACACACGACATCCACACGCGCGTGCCCGCCTGCGGCCTCTCTATGACCACAGGACCCGGCCCTCTCCCCTCCAGGGGGAGCACGCCGCCTCGCCCGCCCCTCGGGCCCGCGCCCGCGCCCGGACACGCCAGACCCGGACACCCAACATCCCTCAAAGCCAGTGCTTCCGGTCGGCGGCACGAGCAAAAGACTGCACCTGCAGCACGTCCCAGATGAACCTGGACCCGGGCCCCAAAAGCCTGCAAGGACCCCCACAAACACGGACTCAAACCCGGATCCCGGATCCTGCCGCGCAGCAAACAAGAAACGCACAGGTGCTGGAAAACGCGGCGACTTTGCAGGGAAGGTTGTCGTTTCCCTGGCTTCCCGTGCCCTGGTTTATCTATGTGTCCTGGTCTCCGGGTGCCTGACGCCGCGGCGGAGAACCAGCCCCGGAGAGCCGGGCGGAAGCAGCGCAGGACGCCAGGAGGGCGAGCAGGGGGGGCGTCGGGCGGAGAGAGGGCCGAGAGGGAGGCCCACAGGCGGAGCGGAGGGCCGCGGGAGGAGCACGCGCAACTGTGAGTGGCTCGCGGCGCCCCGGCCTGCCACGGCCACGTGGGGGCCCCACAGGCGGGGGGCGGCACCCGGGGGGCGGGAGCGATGGGAGGGGTGGGGCCGGCTCGAGGGGGAACGTCGGCCCGGAGCGTGCGGCACATCGCCGATGGAACGGCCATGTGGGCTCTCGGTGGCGAGGGCGCAGGCTGGCTCCCGGGCGGGGCGGAGCAGCAGGCCGGCCATCGGCGATGGGCGGGCGCCTGGGGGCAGACGCATGGCCCCCTGAGCCCAATCCCCCGCCTGCATCGCTGCCCGTGCAAGTACTGACACGCCCAAAAGCGGGCACCCCAAGCTCGGGCGGCCCCAGAGCTCGCACGCCGCTCCGCCGCCGACGCGCAAGAATGACCCCCAGGCAAGAGTGACCCTTTGGCGCGCGGCCTGCAAGCCGTGGCGCGCCATGCAGCCGTAATTAGCGGCCTGGTGCTTGGGGTTCCCCCCCCCCGCCGCGCCCCCCGAAAGCCGCGCACCACAGGTCACCCTGGCGAGGAGTCACCCCCACACGGTGCGCGGAGGGCCTGTCCGAGCTCCAGGGCACCTGCCCTCAGAAACGGCGAGCACGCGCGCGACGGGCCAGGCCTCGCCGCAGGCGCCCTAGCTCGAACGCGCCGCGCGTCGGGCTCACTGCGGCTCGGGCACGGGGCGGCGCCGCGGGGCTCGGTGGCAACGACGGGCGGAGGCGCAGCCCTCAGCTGATCTCCGGTGCGTCGTCGTCGCTCTCGTCCGAAGAGCACCCTCTGGCGGGCAGGCTCCTCACCTGGGGGGGGGGCGGCGCGGGCCGGGTGTCCTCCCTCGAGGGGAGCACGAGGAGGGCGGGGGGGAGGAGGGCGAGGAGGAGGAGGAGGAGGCCTCCGCCTTGCGCTCGGCCTCCGCCTTTCCCTCGGCCTCTGGCTTTCGCTCGGCATCCACTTTGCGCTCGGCATCTGCCTTCTGCTCGGTGCCCGCCTTGCGCTTGGCCTCCGCCTTGCGCTCGACATGCGCCTTGCGCTTGGGCTCCGCCTTGCGCTCGACGTGAGCCTTACGCTTGGGCTCCGCCTTGCGCACGGCCTGCGCCATGGGCTCGGCCTCTGCCTTGTGCTCGGCCTCCGCCTTGCGCTCGGCCTCCGCCGCGGGCTCGGGCTCTGCCTTGCGCTCGGCCTCCGCGTTGCGCTTGGGCTCCGCGTTGGGCTCGGGCTCCGCCCTGCGCTTGGCATCCGCCTTGCGCTTAACCTTGCCCTTGCGATCGGCCACAAGCCTGCGCCTGGCACCGGCTCCGCTCGCGGCGGCAGCACCAGAGCACTCACCCTCGTGCTCGGCGCCCTCGTCGCACTCCTCCCTGGCGTCCTCGTCCTCCTCGGACTCTACGGCCGCGACCTCCTCCCCCTCCTCGATGCCGAATTCCTCGCCGTCCCCCGCCACCTCGAGGGCCGCGTCGTCCGGGTCCTCCACGGGTCGGCGGCTCGCAGGAGGGAGGGAGAGTCGTGGCGAGGGGGGAGGGGGGAGGGGCCCAGGCTCAGACGGCGGGCAAGGCGACGGAGCGCAGAGTCCGCGAGACGCTCGCTGCAGCCATCGGGCTACCGGAAGCAACGCTGAAGAGGGAACGAAGGGGCTGGTCTTGGGTCGGGCCTGTCCCTATACAGGGGGATGCTGGGTGATTCTTTTTTTAATAATAATAATAATAATAAAAAAAAAAAAAAAAAAAAAAAAAAAAAAAAAAAAAAAAAAAAAAAAAAAAAAAAAAAAACGCCCAAACATATTTAAAACAGTGCTCAGATACTCCTCCTGTAGAGGGGCAGGCCCGACGTGAGGCTGGTGTGGCAACGGCGCGCCTCGGCCACGCACGGGCTCGCCGACACCCAGGCGCCGGGAGCGGCCGGAAAGCCAGAAGGTGGGCCTTCTGTCAGCGTCTTGGGCAGGCCCAGAGGTTGACAACAGCACCAAACTCATCGGCCAGACCTAAGAGTGACCTCTCGCAGGAGTGACCTTTGGTGCGGGGCCCAAATGGGTCCCCCAATCGCCGAACGCGCTGCGATATCAGCGGCTTGCGCGCTTGGGCTTGGCTCCCCCGCGGCTCCCTGATGCCGCGCACCAAAGGTCACTCTTACCCAGGGTCATATTTGCGTATAGCCGACCTCAGCGGTGTGCGCCGAGGGGAGATGATCCCGATCTCGGCGATGGTGGCAATACTCTGGCATCCCAGGCGGCCGAAACATTGCCACCGACACCGAGATCCATGATCATCCTCCCCCCGTGGGCGCACCCCCCTGTTTTGGTGTTGGTGCCCGTTTCGAAGCCTCCAAGTCTTGGCTCTATGGGTACCGTCAGCTGAGGCCAACGACGCCAAGGGAAGGGTCCTGCGAATTGCGCCCTCCCCGAGTTCCACACACGTGACCCCGGCCCGATCCCCATTGGGGGGGAGAGCTTCCCACCACATGGGCGCGGTGCTTGGCACTGCTTGGCTCTGCTTGGCACTGCTTGGGATTGCTCATGGCACAGCTTGGCACGAAGCACCAGGGGCGGGGAACCCCGGGAGCCCCTGAGGAACCCCCGGGCAACGGGCAACGAATAGCAACAGCAGGCCCCGGGGGCGGGGAGCCCAGGGAGCCTGGGGCACCTCTGGGAAACAGGCAGAGTGAGAATAGGAGGCGCCAACCTTTACCTAAGTGGGGGTAAACTTCTCCAAAACTACGGTCACGAGCTGGTCGTCATCCTGACGAATCATGGTGTCGAAGCTCGTGTGCACGAGAGTGGCCATACTGAACAGAAGTATCCGATTTACGCCAAAGAAGAACCCCAGTCAGTGGATGGTTCAAAGGTTTGTGATGTGGATATGGAGATCGATTGTGAGATCGATGATCATATCGATAGTGGGATCGGTCGTGAGGAAGATAGTAAGGTCGATCGTGCGACCGATGGTGAAGTCGATTCAGTGAGATCGATCATGAGATCGATTGTGAGATCGATAGAGCTGTGGGTAATGAGATCGATGGTGAGACCGATCGATAAAAAGATTGACCAGGAACCCGGGAACCCAGAAACCCGGGAAACCCGCCGCCCACTGAAATCGGAACCAACAACAAAGAACTGGGGAACCTGGAATCGGGAACCTGGGAACCCGGCCGCCTACTGAAATCAGCTGGGCACGTCCCCCAAATCTTTCAATCTCCGCCGGGACCCCTTCAGTGCAAGCACCGATTGAGAAACTATTCAATTGAAGCGCAAGGAGAAGAAGCCATGAAGACCATGGTACCAAAATATCTTGAAACGGCCTCTTCCGACTACGCCGACCGCTGCCAAACAACGGATGGAAACCTGTAGATTGCTGCCTTGACCTGCCCCCGCCAACCTTCCACCAGCCGCCACCGGAGGAAGACGTTTTGCCCCATTGCGAAAACAGCTCGTTCGTTCAGAGGCTTCTTAGTTTGCTTTGAGGGCATGTGTCGAGGTCGACCCTGCATCAGTCTGAAGAAGTGGTGTTCGCCTGAGCACAATGGCGCGCGCTTGCACCGCGGCTCACATTTGGCTGGTCTATCCACGGGGACATGTGCCACAGGATGGAGTGAGCAAATGCAATGTACGTACATGGATGGAAGCACGCTCGAATACACGCGCGTGCACGTCCTACACACATGTATAAATATGTATGTATACACACAGATGCATGTACTTATGTGTACACATATTTTTATACACATGGACGTTTGCGTCATATGTATATATACCTGTAGATATGGATGCATCATCAGACACTTGTACGTACGTGTACGCGGACATATGAAACTTCACACCCTGGGATCCCACACGATTCTGATCATGGATCTCGTCCTGTTCTAGCACGAGTCCCCCGTGACTCCTACACTGCGCCGCGCTGAGGTGTACCTCTGGTTTGTCGGTGCCGCATCCAATGCTAATAGTGACCCGCGCGCGCTTCAAGGCGCCAGGCCAGCGGGTCGGGAGATCAGAGCTGGGGGCGGCAACGAGAATTGGGAACCATACGTGTCGTATATGTGTGTGTGTGTACATAACTTGCCCGAAACATGGTGCAAATGAGTGGCTGCAAGCCTCACCCTCGCAGGCCCATCCTGAAGACTGTCCACTGCATTCTGCGGGGTGGCAGCTGCCACAATAGTAACATGGTCATGTCCCTGCCCCGAGGGGCCAAAGGGAGAGAATGTGTCATGATAAGACCGGCGGTGGCGCCGGAGCGGCGAGAAATGTCTACGCGAGGAGGAATGGAGGGAGAAGGGGGGTAGGGGGGAGGGCGGGAGGCTTCCTAGAAGCGCGCCTGCTTCTTGGAAAGCGCGGGCCCGATCTGTAGATGAAAGGCCCGCGCCTTCTTCGAAGCAGGCTCCTTCTAAGAAGCCCCCCCCCTCCCCCACCCCCCCTCGGCGCGTGGCCGAAACATGTATCACTAGAGAACCGAAAAGCGGCATAAACAGAAACTGCTGGAGCTCCAAGAATTTATGTGTATACTGATTTTCGTACTCGAATTACGGATCCGTGGGCACAAGATCCAGATCGGGGAAGGCACCCCTCGAACACACGAAGCCAGAGCCGCCTAATGTAACGGCGGAGTGCGTCGATTTCGAGTGGAGGGAGGACCTTCGCTGATCCACGCGGCTTAATCCTCAATACATGACTACGTTTTCTGGAGCGCTGTGCCTGAAGCTGGCTGGCAGTCTGGCACACGGTGGCGCGCCCACCCCCCTCAGAAGGCAACGCATGGGGGGTCCTCGCAAGAACGGTCAAGGGCTACCAATAGAAGAAGAATAAGAAGAAGAAGAAGAGAAGAAGAAGAAGAACAAACGGCATAGACATAAACTTGTGGCGCTCCACGCGAAAATCTTGGATATGCGCTGCGCCCCCTCCTTGGCGCGCGGAGCGCGCCAGCCGAGGCTCGGCCACGCGCCGATCCAAGAAGTCCGCGCGCAGCGCCAAAAGTTTATGTGTTTGCCGTATTCCTTCTTGGGACCAGGCCAGGTTACGAGCTATCAAGCTGGACTGAGCTGGATCAACCTGGGGACGACAGGCCATACGAAGCGACAGGGCTGAACCTAAACGGTGTTTCTCGTTTTCGTTTTGTGTTCGTTCTCCCTCATTTTGCCTTCCGTCCGCCTTTGCTGCAAAACGAAGTCGAAACGAAAACGGCCCACGAGATCGCCAAAACACCGTTCAGGCCCAGCCCTCCCAGCGAGAGCACGCCGGCGAAACCAGGAGTCTGCTGGACTGGGCCAGTCTTCGGACCAGGGGATCTACCACCGCGCCGACGCCGAGCGTGCCCTCGCGGGAGCCGCACCCGAACCCCGGCGAGGAGGCCCCGAGACGGGCCCCGAAGAGGCGACCCCGAGAGGCACACGCCCCAGGCCCCGAGGCGGCCGCGGTGCTCCCGGCCGTGCTCCCGCTGTGCCTCGCGCCCACAGGTCCACAAGGGATCTGAGGAAAAGCCGGACCCTGAGGAATTCCTCCTCCTCCTCCTCCTCCTCCTCCTCCTCCTCCTCCTCCTCCTCCTCCTCCTCCTCCTCCTCCTCCTCCTCCTCCTCCTCCTCCTCCTCCTCCTCCTCCTCCTCCTCCTCCTCCTCCTCCTCCTCCTCCTCCTCCTCTGGGGGTCCACGCGAAGCCCCGAGGGATCCAGAGGGCTCCTGGAGATCAGACGGGAATCCTTAGGATCCCTCGAGAGTCGCACATCCGGCACCCAGCGGATACAAGAATCTACGGAGGCAGAGATGCACTCACCAAAAAAAACAGGTACAGCCATCGTGCTGACCACAAGGGGCGCTGAGTGGTGAACCCAGGAAGCCCTCCTGGCCACGACGAGCCTCGGCCACTATTAGATCCCACGACCTATAGATCTAGATAGAAGGAAGGGCCAGAAACTGGAGCCCGTCCTGAGCCCCGAGTGGTCCTGACTTCAGCGTCTCTACTGCACGTGCACAGGTTCACACACATTTTTTGCGCCGGCGCCTGGGCAGAGGTGCTGCCCTGGCGATGTGGCACTAGTGGGACACACAAAATGCGAATCGAGCCGCAGTGCACGTGAGAGGGAGAGAGGAAGCCCCGCGCAGGCGGGGGGGAGAAGAAGCGGGGCCCGCTCACGGCAAGGCCAGGCGGCGGCGGGGCAGGCGCCGGGGTGGGGAGACAGCGGCGGCGCTGGGAACAGGTTCACACATCTAGCCAAAGGTAGACGGTACCCACACACTGCAAAAGCCATCTGAGCGCGTACGCACTTTGTGCACATGGCGAATTTCGGAAACCCTGAGCCCCAAAAACGTGTTCGTCTCTTGCGGGCGCATTTTTTGCTTCCGCCACCTTCCGCCGAGCTTCCGCCAGCTTCCGCACGCTTCCGCCAGCAGGCGGCCTCGTTTTACTTCCGCCGACCTTCCGCCCACCCTCCGCGGCACTCAGCCGCGGAGGAGATGCCAACTCCTTCGGTCTTCGAAGAGAAACGTATATGCTGTGGCATCCGAAGCCTTACAAGCGCAAATAGGCGAAGCTGAGCATCCAAGCAAGGACGGCAGACTTCGCTGCAAACTGGTGACCGAGAGTCTTGATCTTCCGCTCCGTGGTTGCACAGACGCGGAAGAACTTGGCCCGAATCAGGTCGAGGACAGGGTCCAAGTCCAGCGTGGTCTCCCACCTCCAGCGCGCGTCGACTCGCGAGGGGAAGCTGGGACGGGACTCGGCGTCTCTGAGGTGGTGGTCGAAGTGCCCCGACCGGTGCTCGAAGATCAGGCCCTGGCCCTGGAACCACCCCTGCATGGAGTCAGGGTGGGGCAGCGGAGGCTTGTCCAGCTGGCCCAGCCACCGGAGCTCGATGTAGGCCAGGGCCATCAGTTCCGTCTTCGTGATGACGGTGCTCTTCTGCAGCTGGCGGAGTCGCCACTGACGCGTGGCTTCCTCGCTGGCCTCGGGAGGAAGCTCATCAAGGCCCTGATCAAGGTCATCGAAGTCCTCCGGTGAGCGAGAAGAGAGCATGGAGAGAGAGACAGAGAAAGTGACCGAGGAAGGCAAAGAGGCGACAGCGAGAGAGGGGGGGGGGACAGAGAACGATCGATTACAGCAACAAGATGAAGATCACGAGGAAGACAGTGGCAACCACTGGAGTACGAATATACCTACTGCAGGTTCGTGCTGTGTCGACCCTGGCGTTGGTTCCTGACACCGCGCTGGATCGTTCAACCTTGAACGATCGGCCGTCTCCGCAACGTCCGATCGTTCAGCATCGACCGATTCTGGGCCGCCGGCGGCGTTCAACCTGGAACGCCCGCGCTGGGGTCGCCGCTGGTCGACACGACGCAAACCTACCGTACCTAGATGTGTGAGGAGTGGGGGCGCACGGAGTGCTCTTGCGGACGACTTCTCGGCATGCGCGGCGCGCGCACGGGCGAGGGCACGGGGCCCGCACGGTCTTGTTGTTTGGCAGGGAGGGCACGTCGCGGGCAGAAGAAGACTATGACAGTTATGTCGTACAGTCGGGTCAGAGCAGCGGCACGGGAGGAGGAGGAGGAGGAGGAGGAGGAGGAGGAGGAGGAGGAGGACGCGCCGCATCGTCGATGCTGCACCACTGCCTCGGCACTAAATCTACAGTCGAGGCGTTGACCTAAGGAACCCCAAATAAGGAAAGAGGCCCCTGTTTCCCATAAGATCCACCTCGATGTCCCGTGGAAAAACTCAGGAGAGCCCGAGGCAGACTTGGAAACCTTCAGGGAACACCGAGCCCCTCCCCAACGAAAAGGGTTCCTTCTTCAGCGCCCCGACTGTATACCCTACACCGAACAAACTGAAACAATAACAAACGCTGACTGATCACATGCCTGAAGAGCTGTGTCTCGAGACACTAAGAGGGTGAATGGCGCTGGCAGGTGTCAGTATGCGCGCGCGTGTAGGGGGGGCGCGAGGAGCACATGCCATGTTTACAGAACAAGCGTGCAAGATTGACGCGTGTGCACAGAACTGTTGTTTGACAGGGATGGCGGGCGGGAGTCCGTGATAATGTTGTCTGGGATGCTTTGATTCCACGTGTACGATGAACGATCGTGCATCATACATATGGCAACATGCGCGGAGCTGTACCAGTAAGCCTGGCACCCGCATAAGGGGGGAGAGTCTCACCTTCCCCGAGAACGTAACACAGAGGGCAGCCTGCTGCGTGCGAAGGGATGTGGCCATCGTATCTCACCACGCCTCGGCATGAGTCGCGATGGTCTATCGCATCAGCTCGCCTCAGGCAGGGTGGCCAGCATGGCGTTCCACTTTTGCCCCTGAGGGTGCCGATCCCGCCGTTTTCGTTAAGGCCATCGACAAGCCCTGGTCGCTGGCGCGAGCCTGCCGCCTCCAAGGCGCCTGAAACGTCAGGCTGGTGGAGGGTCCGTCGGCGGCGCGCGGAGGGGGAAGTGTGAGGTCTGGCGAGTCCTCCTGGAAGCGGACTTGGGGATAAAAACGATAAACAGTCAACGTTCAGAAATAGATGCGAATTGTCCCAACAAAAAACGTCCCCAGACTATTGTTGGAACCATCTTGAGCCTTCTCCCTGCAGAGGGATATGCCCGACTTACAGGGGGAGCGACCCTCAGCGCCTGGCGATGATTTGTCACCAGCGCCGGCGAACGCGGGCGCGTCTGTGGCCTGTCGGGCCGCGCCCGGGCAGGGCACGCGGGCACGCGGGAAAGAGGAGGGCGGTCGCGGAGACGTGGGAGCCCCCGCCCACGCTCCCGCGGCCGCCCTCCTCTTCTTACTCGTGCTCCTCCGAGGAGCCCCTGGCGGCTGAGGGGGCAGGCCTTCTCAGAAGGCGGCGGGACTTCTCAAAAAAACCCTGCGGCCCAGAGAAGGCTGTGGGAAGCCTCTCGGGACGAGGCCCGCCCCCTCTGCCGTCCGACCCGGGCGCGCCGTCGAGGCCGACTCCCCTGCGCCTCCAGCGCAGGGAGAGGGCATCTGTCCCGCAGGCCAGGCTGACCAGGCCGCTCGCAGGAGGAACAAGCAATGAGAGGCCTGTTCTCCACCACCACCACCACAAGTTGGAGGGGGGAAGGAGGTGGAGGATGAGGAGGAGGAAGAGGAGGAGGAGGAGGAGGACCCCCTCCCCCTCCTGCTTATGGTGGTGGTGGTGGAAAACAAGCCCATCAAGCAGGGACAGGAACACAGAAACTCGGAGGTCCGCGCGGAGTCCTCGGGTCGGCGCGGGGGCCCGCCTTGGCGGCGCCTCCCCTGGCGCGCTCCGCGCGCCGGGGAGGGGGGTCCAGCACCGGTCCGAGAGATCCGTGCGGACCTCCGAGTGCTTGTGCTTTTATGTCCGTGTCTGTTCCCCTGGGCCAGGCCGCTCCTTGGCGGTCGGGTTGAGCTTCTTCCCCTGCCGGGCGAACTCCCTGTTGGCCTTGTCGCGGACCCACCAGCGGAAGCGGCCTGCCGTCAGGAAGCTGCAGGACTGGCTCCAGACGACCACCTGCCGGCAGGGCGGACCGATCCGCCGTCTGCCCAGACCCTCCTCTTATTCGAAGGAGGGCGGATGAATCAGCAGGGGGAGGAGGGAGAGGGTCAGGGGCACGAGCAATGACGTAAAAAAGTGTGAACACTCGCAGGTCCGCGCGGATTTCTCGGACCCGCGCTGGACCCCCTCCCTGGCGCGCGGAGCGCGCCAGGGGCGGCGACTCCGGCGCCGCCAGGGGGCCCCAGCGCTGATCCGAGGAATCCGCGCGGACCTCCCAGTTTGTATGTTCATGGCATTGCTTGTTCCCCCAAGAGTGAGGGCGAGAATGCGCGGGCGAAGAAGGGGGGACGAGATGCACTGTTCCGGGATCGTCGGGGGCACTTGTCCACTGCGCCTGGGAAGTTCACGCCCCTGCGGTGGCAAGTAGGAGCACGAGCTTCCCAGCCGCGCCGGGAGAGAGGCACCCCCGAGCGCGGAGAGGTTTGCCTCATGCCGATCTTCGCCCGCCGAGGGGGAGGGACGTCGAGCCTTCAGTCGGGCGTGTCCCCCTACAAGGGGGCTTTTCGACGACAAATAAAAACTACCCAGAAAATATTCCAAAATGGTATATAAAAAACCCAATCGAGTCGCCAGGCTATGTTTGGACTATTTTTGAGTATCCCCCCTGTGGAGGGACGGGCCCGACTTACGTCGAGCCTTTGCAAGATGGCCTGGGAACCAGGAGAGGCGACACCAACACCACCAGGGCGAGGAGATGCGAGGAGGCAAGGGTTGAGCAGGGACAGACCGTCTCGGCATTCCTGTAGGCCTACCACGAAATGTTCTTAGAACCCCCATATGTTCTTAGAACAAGAACAATGTTCATATAACATCAGCCTGATGTGTTAGAAACAAGACAGTCCCAGCCAGAAATGTTCTAAGAACATCCCGCGAAAACCACAAAAGGTTATGAGAACATGCTTTGATGGGCCTATAGGCGAGCCAGGACGCTTCGCCAATGCTTGAAAGGGGGCCTCGCTGGTGGTGTGGTCCCCCCCTCTCGCTCGAGGCATCCCCAGCCTCCAGCTCGGGGAGGCATCGGGGGCCTCCTCGCTGTGGGTGGGCCCCCTGGTGTTAGGTCGGGCATGTCCCCCTACAGGTGGATTTTGAGCGAAAATGGCAAAAATAACAAAAAAAAAAAAAAAAAAAAAAAAAAAAAAAAACGATAGCCATATACAGTCAAAAAAATGTCCCCTGATTATTTTTCGACTGTTTGGATATTCCTCCTGTAGAGGGGCAGGCCCGACTCAACCCTGGTGGTGTTGGCGTCGCTCCTCCTCCCTCCGAGCGGCCAGGTTTAGCTCCCAGATGCGACGTCGGCCCGAACCGCCGCCAGCGACAGAGGGCCCGCTAGGGAAAGCCTGATCCCTCCAACCAGTGCGCCCCTCTTGGAGGGAAGATATATCGGCGGTGCGCACCGGGGGGTGGAGGGAAGGGGGGGGAGGGCCTCTTGGACGGAGGCTGATTCTTAGAAGGCGCCAGCCTTACCTCTGTCGATGAGGCCCGCGCCTCCTACGAAGCAGGGGTGCTTCTGAGAAGCCCTCCCCCCTCCCCCCACCCTTACGTCGGGCGTGTCCCTCTACAGGAAGAGTTTTCCAGAATAGTCGAAAAATAATCAGGGGACGATGTTGTTTTACTATCTTTTGGCATTGTGGGGGCATTTTTTGAATATTTTCATTTTTCGCCCAAAATCCCCCTGTAGGGGACAGGCCCTAACCCCCCCGCCCGTTCTGCGCGTGGCTGGATATGATCCAGGGTCGAGGGCCCACGGCCCCTCCCCCCCCTCCCAGATGTCATGGTCCCAGGATTCCTCGGCCCCCCCCCCCCCAGATGGTATGGTCCCAGAGACGACGACGACGACGACGACGACGACGACGACGACGACGACGACGACGACGGCGACGACGGCGACGACGGCGACGACGACGACGACGACGACCACGACGACGACAACGACGGCTGCGGCGGCGACGACGCCGGCGGCGGCGGCGGCGACGACGACGATGACGACGATGACGACGGCGACGACGACGATGACGACGACGACGACGATGACGACGACGACGACGACGACGGACGACGAGGACGACGACGACGAGACGACGACGACGACGACGACGACGACGACGACGACCTCTGAACCACCACAGCACCACACCACATCCACAGGGGGGGGGAGGGGGGCACCGCAGCGCAGCACCACGCCACGCCCACTTCTGAACCACCACAGCACCACACCACATCCACAGGGGGGGGGGCACCGCAGCGCAGCACCACGCCACGCCCACAGGGGGGGGCGGGGGGGACCATCGCGCGGGGGGGGGGGCCCAATGGCATCAGCATTGGGGGGGGGGCCCAAGGGCATCAGCATTTGGGGGGAAGCCCTGGACCATATATGGCTCCTTCCCCCGGCGCTCGGCGGCCTGCCACCGGTGAAGGCTCCCAGTGTTCAAGTGTTGCGCGCGAGCAGGCCCGTGACCGGCCCCGGAGGCCCCCAGTGCCTCCCCCCGGGCACGCCACGGTTCGCGCCAGCGCGGTGTGGGCATTGGCCATCGCGAATCCGGAAGAAGGAAGAACGGCGTAACCAGAAACTTCGGTCGGGCCTGTCCCCCTATACAGGCGGATTTGTGACGAAAAATAAGAAAAATCCCCAAAAAGCCCAGAAATAGACAAAAAATCGTCCCGAAACTATTTTTGTAGCATTTTTGAATACTTCCCCTGTAGAAGGACAGGCCGACTTAACCATAAACTTGTGTGGCGCTCCGCGCGGATTTCTTGGATCTGCGCCGGACCCCCCCTCCCTGGCGCGCGGAGCGCGCCAGGGGCGGCGCGGGAGGCGCCGCCGGGGGGCCCTGCGCGGATCCAAGACATCCGCGCGGAGCGCAAAAAAGTTTATGCTTGTGGCGTTTTGTCCGCCTTCGAGAACCATTCCCGCGTGAGCGACGAAAAGAAACGGGCATTCCGCGAGATGGCACAGCGACCTTGCGCCGCAGCTTACACTCGTGGCGCTGCCTTTGGGAACCCTAAATAAGGAACGAGGCCCCTGTTTCTCCATAAGGTAAACTTCGATTCCCCATCGAAAACCTAAGAACAACCTAAGGCAAACTGCGAAACAATTGAGGAACACGGAGCCCCTCCCCAACGAAAAGGGTTCCTTGTTCAGCGCCCCGACTGCACGCGGGCCGCCAGCGCGGCACGTAGCATTGGAAACGAGGGCACTCACGCGCCATCGTACGCGAGCAGTTTGCGCGCCCATGTCGGCGAAGACGTCCCCGTTTTCTTCCGTCGCCCACGTGGTGCCAGAGCGAATCGTGCCCCGCCCCCTCCCCCCTTCGGTGGCAACTCATGGGAGCCTCCCAGAATTACCATGTTGTCGGCTCTTGCGGATCGACGCCAATCGATGCTAGTCGACGCTGCTCGACGCAGAATCGACGCGAATCGACGCTAGCCGACGCGAAATCGGCGCTGTCTCATCGACTCCCCGACGCCAATCGACGCCAAAGACGGAATTCAGGGGGTACACCAGGCTCCCATGATTTGCTGCCGGACCCTCCCCCCCGGGTCACGACTGTTATTGAAGGTGCCCTGGGACACACAAATATATACGCACAAAAAAAGGGTTCCCCATATTGTCCGATATTTTCTAAGTTTTTGTGTTCCTCCCCACTTCCCATACTTTCTGCGGAATCGACGATTACTTGTGTCTGTGTGCTTTTGTTTCCCTCCTGCAAAAAACTGCCTCGAGCCGCCCCCGGCCCGTCGACCCGGGTCCATCCAGACCCGGGCCAGCCGGGCTTCGGTCCTGCAGGACCCCGCAAGCTGCAGGATCCTGCACGCTCCTGCAGGGTCCTGCACGCAGGCCCGGGCCAATCCATCCCCACGCTCTGCAGGATCCTGCAAGGTGCGGCCCTCTGACGGACCCCTCTTGGCATCGACCCCCGTCTCTCGAGCCCAGAGTCTGCCTCCGCCGGGCCTCCTGGCCTGCCAGCCGCCTGATCGCATCGGGGATCGTGCAACATCCACCCCCTCTCTCCCCCCTTCAGCCTTCCCCCTCCCCCCCCCCCCGGTCACGCCTGTTCCAGGGGATATATATATATATGTATATATATATATGTATATCGATGTGTGATGTTTGAATATAAAAAGTCTCAGGCCGCCCCCGTCGGCGGCGGACACGCCTCCCTTGGAGAAACCTCCCTGTAGTGAAAACGGCCTATAGGACCGAAACCGACAGACCTGGGCCCGCAAAACTGACGGCCGCGGCGCCCTCTCGCGAACCGAACACGGCCAACCCACTTAGAATCGACGTGTCAGGGTAGGAGGTCCATCAGACTCCGACCCCGGCTCCATGTTGCTCCTATCGTACTTCAGGACCACGTCCCAGAAAGAACTTCTGATGGGCGTGTTTTCCACCACCACCACCACCATAAGTTGGAGGGGGGAGGAGGAGGAGGACGAGGAGAAGGAGGACGAAGAAGAGGAGGAGGAGGACCCCCTCCCCCTCCAACTTATGGTGGTGGTGGTGGAAAACAGGCCAATCAACTTCGAGCACCCAGAAAGGTGTCGAAAGAGTGCCGAGAGAGTGTCGAGACGGTGCCGGACGAGTGCCTCCCGGGGCCCGACGCGCGAAGACATCCGAGCCTCTCGGTATTTTTCTCTGGCGCTCGAGCTTCTCTCGGATGCTCACAAGGCTACAAAGCAGGTCGGGACATCATAGACCCCGGCCTCCTCCCGCTGGCCTCCGCCGGCCCCCCCCCCCCCGGCCGAGGCGAGGAGGAAGTCGGGCCCGTCCCTCTACAGGGGGGGGATCTTCAAAAAGAGTCCCAAAATAGTCTGGCGGCTCTTTTGGGGTGTTTTTTTTTTTCACAATTTTGGAACAGTTGTTGAATATTCTCTATATTTTTCGTCGGAAAGCCCCCCTGTAGGGGGACACGCCCGACTGAAGGCTCGACGTCCCTCCCCCTCGGCGGGCGAAGAGCGGCACGAGGCCGCTAACCTCTCCGCGCTCGGGGGTGCCTCTCTCCCGGCGCGGCTGGGAAGCTCGTGCTCCCACTTGCCACCGCAGGGGTGTGACCTTCCCAGGCGCAGGTGCCCCCGACGACCCCGGAACAGTGCATCGCGTCCCCCCTTCTTCGCCCGCGCATTCTCGCCCTCACTCGTCGAAAAGCCCCCTGCAGGAGGAAACGCCCGACCTAAGGCGAGGAGGTGCCGGAGCTCCTCCGCTCCTCGAGGGCAAGGCCCCTCCCCGGGAGCGCCCCGGCAGTTCGCCCGCCGACAGGCCCGCCGTCGTCGTCGTCGTCGTCGTCGTCGTCGTCGTCGTCGTCGTCGTCGTCGTCGTCGTCGTCGTCGTCGTCGCCGTCGTCGTCGTGGGCGTCGTGGGCGTCGTCGTCGTCGTCGTCGTCGTGGTCGTGGTCGTCGTCGTCGGGCCCAGGCATCCGGCGTCCTGGCGTTCTGAGCACGGGGTCCACGGAGTCCCGCCCCCGTTCCCCAGGGGCCAGCGTTTCGCACCGAGTCGCCATGGCGGCTGTCCGCAGGCCCCCGGAAGCTCTCAAAGCCGTCCGTCGGGGCTGCCTGCGCGACGCGAGCACGTCCGGGGAGGCACAGGCAAGGAGCCGCACTCTGCACACCGACGCCTCGGGCTGGTCCCGCACGGAAGCTCGCACAGGAAAGCGGATCCCTGATGTACACGGGATCCTGGTGTATACGTGCTCCGTTGCTGTCCCCGGGACAGCGGGGGAAGCAAGATACACCACACCACCCCGACGTCGTCCCCGACCCTCAGGAGAGCCCTGGGATTGAAAAGCCGCCCGCCCCTGGTCACGGATGTGCTCCAGCTTCCGAAGATGGCCCCCTGAGCCAGGACTCTGCGAACCCCAGCCAGGGAGACCAGGCCGAGAATGCTTCGGCCCGCGGCTGCGGCTCTCTCGGGCGCGCCAGCATCCTAGTTTATCAGGTGTCCCGTGCGGGGGGCCCTGAGAGGGAGCCGACGAGGTCGGGAGGCCGGACGAGAGAACGGACGGACGAGCGAGCGAGCAAGCCAGCATGCGTCCAGGTGGGTCACTGGGACGCCGCCGTGGGGCGGCGGCCAAAAGAGCAGGCACCTCCCACATGCACGGCGCCACGCTCAGGACCAGGTGGCCCGCTGGCGGCCGGCCGGGGCAGAGGCAGTGACTACCTACCAGACCACCCCAACCCCACCCGAAGACCCGAATTTCGGGTTGGGGGGGGTAATTACAGGTTCCATCTGCGTTTTCTCTCTGTTCCCCGACCCCCCCCCCCCACACACTGGAAACGGAGGTCCATTTGAGGCCTTCGGGTTGGGTTGGGGTGGTTTGGTGGGTGGTGAGGCAGGGGAAGCCCCCCCCCCGAAAGTACAGCGCCTGCACCGCCGACGCCCCCGAAGCGAGGGGCCCCGAGCGCCAGGCGCCAGAGGAGAGCAGCAGCCGGGGAGCGGACGGACGCGGGGCCCAAGAGAGGGCGAGGGGCGGGGCCTGCTGCAGCACCCAGCTCTTCGGCAGCCCCAGCTCCGCGGCGTAGCGCGCCGAGAGCTCCGCCGTCATGGCGCCCGC